TTTTTTAATGGTTTTATATCCATGGACTTTTTGAAGTATCCTCATATACTTTACCTCAATTAAGGGGGAAAAGCACAAACCCCCAAACCCAACAACTTGTGGTCAAACCCAACTCATTGCCAGTTTGGTGAGCTGGTGTTGTTGTTTTAGTAACAGTTTTAGCAAAGTCTACATGGATTCGGTAAGAAAAAGTTCTGAAAATAACTCGAACCCCAGGGGCTTAATGACCATGAACATCTGTCTTAATCACCTTTAATATTCTGGCTTTTGATACAAATTATGTCATTGTTAGTCTGAAGAGAACAGAATGTTCTGGGAGTGTGCTTGTGTCCCCTGAGAAGTGCCATGTCTTCCTTTGCAGGTGTGACTGCCATGCTTTGGGTTCTACGAACGGTCAGTGTGACATTGTCACTGGGCAGTGTGAGTGCCAGCCAGGCATCACGGGCCAGCGCTGTGAGCGATGTGAGGTCAACCACTTTGGCTTCGGACCTGAAGGCTGCAAACGTAAGTGGTGTTGGTGGCCAATAACATTACCGAAGAGCAGTTGTTTGTGTCACCAGGGCTGGTGTCACGCAGTGCAGTCACTCATGGTGTCAAAACCGGACACCCTCCCCCCTTCAGTTCCGCCCCCACAGACCTCACCCTATATCAGACCAGACCACCCAGAATCCTGTGTGTTCTGTTCATTATAATTTTTAATCCAAGAATAATATGTTATGCCTGTAGTTGCAAATAACTTAAGTATAGTATTTCTTAGGTTAAATGAATACTAACAGCACTATGTTTTATAAAACCTTTCTCCATTGAATTCCAGCATTATTAGTTAAAACATTATTAGTAACTGAGTGGAAGGCTTTTTTAGTTTTTCTTCTTTTCCTTTAATTACTTCTTGGTTCTCAAAGACATGTTTCATATAGGTTCAGAAACACTAATTATGACAGTATTTTAACTAAAAACACCAGAAAATTTGACAAAACCAGGAACTATCAAAAGACTGGCAGAGAGAGAAATAACGGTACCTGCTTGTAGCATGAGCAGGGGGAACTAGGTGATTTGATGCATCATTATAATTGGGTGATAATGACAGCTCTGACCTGGGTGCATTAGACGGTGCAAGGAGTAAATTAACATTCAACCGAGTAGTCATATTGACACATGTAACCTGGGCTTATGAACAATGCTTTTGTTCTCATCACTAATTCCAGGGACACTTTTATAATAAACCGTAAAACACTGCACAAAAAGTGTATAGTCCTTTTGATGTCACCCCCTCTGACAGTGTCCTGTAGCACAGTACACGCATACACGCAACCTTACACTGACACAACTGCCAAAAGACTGAGTCTATTGCCATTATGTCATTACAGGACAGGGTAGAACTGCCCCCTGGGGTTCCCAAGGCTGCATTCTTTAAGGATGCGTCCGCACATCTCTCTCCCCTGGAGTGGCTGCTGGGTTTGAACCCCCAACCTCTCTATTGGCAGCCAACACTTACTTCCTGCTCCACCAGAGCTCCTGTAGAACTTCAGGTCTCCCCTAATTCCAGTTAGAACCTTACATCCAGAAAGGACCCTGATGGGGTCAGATTAGGCCGCACCTGGCTTACCATCAGGGCTACATCTAGATCCTCATTGATGCTTTATTAGACTAATATCCTTTTCTGGATATATTTGGAACTTGAGC